GCCACCGTGGGTGCCATTCTCCACTCCATGGGAGTCACCACCTATCTCGGATTTGTTTTCATAATGACAAAGTGATTTAAGAAGCTTGTGTTCTATTTTTAAAAGTGACTCTGTCCTGTTAAGAGGTCTAGGTTCCTAGATCTCTCTTGAAAATTATCTGCGTTTTCAGGTTCCTAAATGGAGATTTCATTTCTTAAAAGCAAAGGGAATTAGATGCCAAAATGCTTTTAAATATATTCCTTATTTTGAGAATAGAATTTTCCCACATTTGAGAATAGAAATTTATGTCACTTCTTTTTTAAGAATTTCCCCTCACATATCTCTTCCCATAAGCTATGGCTTCTAATGGGGTTATTTTCCTATTAAATCTAGCTGGACATTAAAAGCATCATGGACACTCAGTAGAAATCTTGGGTGCATTAACACAGCTAAGGAAATTTCCAGTTTTACATTCTACATATGCTACTTTGCAGGAAAGCACAACAAAGAAACCTACTTTAAGTTCTTATTGTAGCATAATCAGTCACATTTATTTGCCATTAAATTTTTGTTTTAATAACACTGCTTGTCTATTGAGGCCGAAGATGCTCTATCTACATGGTACATTGAACACAAGTCTGTCCTAGGCGAAAACTGGTGCTCAGCTTTGGGCTCTTTGTGATAAACCTGGCAGAGCAGTGAGAAAAACAGAGCGTCCATCCCTTCCTGGTGGCACCAAGAGCCTCGTGCTTGCGGTGGGAACAAGACAAGTGCAGAGCCCTCCTTCCCAGGCCCGGCGGTGCATCCTGAGCCAGAGGCTGCCAATGACATCACCTGGGCTTCCCGGGAAGGGCACGGGAGCTGCAAGAGGGGGAGAACTGAGCAGACGGGAGCCGTGGGGTGAGCACCAGGGATACACCACCTGCATTCATCGACGAGTACTGAATGCTCAGCCACATTCCTGACAGCGTTTACGCTCTGGTAAGAYGTATGAAGTATCTGATGGAGAATTTAGAAATCAAACAAATCTGAAAATGTGCTTGGCCCCTGGAAAACTACAGTTTACCCATTTAAAAAAAGAATTAAAAAGGCTTAAATGTCTGTCCAGTTTTACCCTTTGCTCTGCTTAAGATTCAGGCTGAGTCCAGTGAGTACAACTTAAACAAAATTCCAATTCCCTGMTTCTATTTTGTTAGATCATAAGCTTTCATACTTTTTTTAAAGATAGTGTGTTCAGCAGTTATTTTAGAAACAAAATAGAAAAAAAAGCACTGCTTTTTCTGGGCAACTCACGGAAACTGATCTCACACTAGTAAGGGTTTCAGAAATTGGTCCTGCTCCTCGGTGTGTGTACATAAACTGCCTCTTGGTATTCATAGGGCTGTGTGACATTTAGTTAAATGAGATTGATTACATTAGATTATACAGATCCAATTAAATCATCTGTTATTCTGAAAGCACTGAATTCACACTGTTCATTAAGAATGTGAAAAACTGGTGTTATAGCTGCCTTCTTTAAAAACCTGTACTGTTACRCTCTGCCAGGAGTAGAGCTGAGCCTAGTACCTTGCTTTGGATGCTATGAAACAGAAAAAAAAMCTCTTTGTCTTTGCTGTTCTTCTCTATTTTCTTCTGCAAAGGTTGTAAGCATTTGACCAGCCTAGCATTACTGCAAAGCCAGCATGCCAAGGAGGCCTCCTCCCTTGGCTGGCATTCACTACTCTCTGCACCTCCAAGCAAGAATTTTAAAKGAAAATTCTTGTTCCAACAGTCGGCAGGTACCATGAAACTGGGAATGACTCCCATTGCTCTGAGCAGTGCCCAGGAACAGTGGTGTGGGACCAAAGGAGCAAACTATTGTCATTTACTCAGCAACACATCATCCTTGGTACAACTGATACCAAGGCAATCCCAAACCAATAAAGCCAGACAAGGGTAGAAGGGAGCTAAATTCCTGCAGCRAAGTGACCCATGTGAGAAAGAGCTCCCTGGTGAGATCTTCCTCAGCCATGCAAGTATACCAGAGATACCAATTATTACAAAGAAAGTAATTCTTACCTAGTCTAAAATCACCTCTATTCATTAGGCAATTCCTTATTAAATGGATTCCATAGTCCAAAAKCATCCACAGTGGAATTTGGTTAGTTATTTAAAGGACAAAATATCTCTTCTGCTTACCTTTCAGAATCATATAACTGATCCTTCATAGATACGTCATAGATAATACATTTTTTTCTATTGTACATATCTTTGTAAAGTACATGGTACAACCAGTGGTGCTCAGAGGCATAATYTGAATCTTGGAAATTAATGTTTATTTATATTGCAGGTTAAATAATTGCTGGTGCCTTGATAAGGAAGATGATTTAAACTATGATTGAGCATACCACTGATAGCTCTTTATTAAGCAATAAGACAACACACTAATCCCTCTTTAATCTTGGATAAACTCTACACTTATTTTCCTGGTGATGGTAACAATCATCTTGAGCTCTTGCGGCATTTTGGTATCATACTGCAAATAGGAAACTAATTAACTCTTTGCTTTGATGGGAGTAGCTAAGTCTGTATTATTAATTTAAACCTTACTGACTGTGCATTGCCACACGCAGTTAGCTTTAAGATGCATGTTGAAACAGGCTCCAAGAATGCATAGGCTAAGAGTTCCCTTAATATTTGCAGCTTTAATGAAGTCAATTAAAATGTGATCAAAGGATAAATCACATTTGTGCTTTTTGTTTGCTTTTCTAAGAAAGCAATGTAGCAGCTCCAATGTAAGAATTCAATGATCTTTCTAGGGATTAGATAACTCAGGGTCTTGAAATCTCATCTTGATGGCATTTAAAGGAATGGATATGAATTATTAATCTATCTTCTATCTATATTTTCTTCTTCTCTTCTTCTTAACCCATTTTTTTAGGAAAAAAAAATCCTCAGTATGGTAAAATGGAGTGCTCATGTTCAGAGCCCTGATGTGTATCAACTCTTACTGCCTTTTCATATAATGTGAAGTGCAGCAATCATTCTGTGGTGTCAAAAACTGTTTGGGCTATAAGACAGATGGGACTTTCAAAATGAAATGTACCTATGACTGTTTGCTACTATATATATAAAACGTCTCATTTAGTCTCATCTGTGATTTTCCAAGAGGAAAATGTTACCACAAGTAATTTATCTCAGTCCTACAGGTTCGGATCATTGAATGACCACTTCCAAACAGGTCTAACAATTGAGTTTCTATTTTTGAATCAAACTTGGGCTTTTTTTTTCTTCTTCTGATTTATCATGAACACTTGCATGCTGGTACTTCTAAAAACAAATCAACAAATGCTTAAATTAACTATGTCATAACACAGAAATATGTTCTTGTTCTTCAAAAGTTTGTTTAGCAAGGTATATAGATAACTTTAAAACCTTTAATCAAGTTACATAGGGCATATATTAAATTGCAAGAATATTTATTTCACTACATAAAACATCCAAGAATGCCTTTGGTCAATAGGATAGAGGGATGACTATCCATTTAGGTAGCTGGTTGGAGCTCAGAGCAGCAAGGAGAGGAGACAGGGGTCGTTGTGTTTGAGGAGAGTCTGATTTTTTTCTCAAAGTATTTCTTATTATCTTGCACTCTGTCTCTGGAGAAGATTCACCTTGCAGTTAATTGCAGTTAATTCCATTTTCAGCAAAGGAGTTTTAAATCTACTACCTTGGAAATGGACRTTTAGTCATATAAGAAGAAAACAGATGAAATGTTTTTGTGCTCATGAGGGCTAGATGACATGGAATAAATAACAGAGTTTTAATTTTGTTTTCATTTAAGCAGAGGCTATTTTGTCMTAGAGTTAAATTCTCATTTTGATTCCTGACTAGTTAAACCATTCACTTACTGACCTCTGCAAAGTATAGGGACAGTTTTCTTGAGAATGTGGCTGCAACGTCTGCTTCTAAGGCACATCAGACGCAGGAATCTTAAAAAGCCAACAGAATACTGGGAGCCTATAAATAACATAAGGACTTGCAGCACATTCCCTGCTTTGGAGTTTGCATGAAAATTCCTGCATTGGTCTTATATGAATAGAAGAATTTGTGATGATTATAAATACTTTAACAAATGACTACTGTCCTCCTGTAAAACAGTAATTTTGCCTGGCTTTTGTATCTCCAGCTTATACCAAGAAATACAATGCAGTAACACTAGCCAAAATTCTTACTTTGGTTACCCCATGAAATCCACTTCCCTATTTTTATATTTAGTCTGATTTAGAGAACTGGTCCTGTTGTTTACTGTGTACACCATTAGCTCAGTGCCTTTAAAACTCAGAGGCTTATTGTGCTTTGTGCTGATCATCTTACCAATGGCATCATCTCTGATTCACACCAGCTTAGTACTGAAGTCTCTGATGAAGCAAACACACACACCTGCATTAAATTTATTGCTGCATTAAATTTATTACTTCCCTGTGTGAAATGACTGTGGCTACTTGCACAGGTAAAGTTGGGCAAGTACTAGTTTGATTAAAGTTGGTTATCTGCAGGTGGGAACAAAACAGGGTGTGTGGATCAGTATGATGCTGCTGAAATGGGACACCTGTGTGACACCCATTTTGACTCAGGGAGGTAGTTACTTGGGGTCAGGGGACTAAAATTTGCACTTATGTTCCTACAAATTAAGACTAAGGGATTGAAATCAGTTCTAATATTTAGTATAACAGCTTTTCAAAGGGAGGATTCATTTTTTTAATATCTGTTTTCCTGTAATGAGGGAGCATTTGGCAATACAGCTGCTTTACAGCTAGATAGTTAAGCTTTGGTTTTTGGCTATAACTTTTCTTCAGCACCAGGACTGTGTGATCTCTTGAATGTAAGCCTAGATATAGGGACTTGAAGGGATATTAAAGCATCCTAATATAATTTCATAGAAGTGAAGGGGTTTGCTGATGAGTTTTGTTTCACACTAGACATCTTTAATCCATGTTCTCCTGAGGAACAGGACACTGTGACAAGGTGCTTTTAAATTGCAGGTCTGGAATAATGGAAGGAGTCTGGCCTTTGATTCTGATCCTCCTGGGCTAGGAGAGGCTGTGGAGATTACTGAGGAGCTCTGAAGAAGGTAAGAGCAGTTATAGTGATGACTTCTTTTTTGCCTCTGAGAACTTTGCATTGACCTTGGCTAAAGCTGTACAGAATGTGACCTACTGCTGTGAAGTAAAACTTGAGGATCCTGCAGTGTGCAACGTCCTCAGCCCCCTGTTGCCTCCCATGGAAATGGGGAAGGATGTGTAAGCGGAGAAAGGAGGGTCCTGGTGAGTCTGTGTAGCTCTGTGCCCTCCCTTGGGGGAGATTTAACACCTCTGTGGCTTGCAGGATAGAGGCCAGTTCCATAGCAATGGTGCTCCTGTCATGACCAGGCTTCCTACCTTATGAAAATATTGATCTTTCCTGCAAGATTATTATCTCTTACCTCTCTCCTGCCCTCTCCCCTAAAGATTTACACTTTTCAGGGCCTTATCCTGTCTGGTGTTTTTGGAACCTGCCTCATGAATAACTGCTTTTGCTATAGGTGTTCAAAGGATTGTATTGTATCAAAAATGCAGCCGTGTTGGAAATAAGTAATCACCTGTTATAGAACAGCAGTCAGAAAGGGACTAGAATTTGTTGGTTTTATTCATTAGTTCTAAAATCTGACCCCGCCGTGTTCCTCTCATTCATTCTTTTATTGTATAAATCAGTATCACAGAACAGGATAGAGAGTCTGTTGTCTTACAACTTATATAAGGAGTAATCAGTAATACCTTAAATGAATTCAGGAGCTCTCCAGACAAGAAGCATAAACAGAATAAAACTGCAACACTGTCTGCTCTTAGGCGCACAGATGTAGATTTTAAGCACATTTGAGGGAGTCAGTGTAGTGTAAAATTACCTTTGCCCTTCTCTGGGTCTGTACCTGCCTTCTCTGAATCATCAATGGCACCGGCTGCCAAAGGGAAACCAAGCAGCAGGGTAATCGGAATCACTAGTGTCATTCATCTCTATTATTGCAGATCCAAATACGAGCAGCCTTTCAAGAGCTGCAAGAAATTAGCTTTCTATAGCTTATAAAGTAAACTGTGTACACAAATACTTTCTTGACTACAGTGCTTATACTTGATGTTTTGCTTGTGAATATACTGAAGAATACATTCGTACATTTTCACATCAACTGTGCCCCCAAAAAAAGGGAAATCGGAAAGGAAAAATGAGGTTCCTTATTGCTTCAACCTCGAGCAGATCATGTCACAATATAATCAAAGGATGCATAAGAATTGCTCAAAACAAACTGACAGGGACAGTTGGCAGAGACCCACTGCTCAGCTGTTCTTGTGTTATCTGGATTATTCTTGCTCTGGTTAGAGCAAGGGGCATAAAATATGGGACACTTGGTAGATCCTAGACTGCAAGGGCAATTTCACTGACAAGAGCAGAAGAATTAAGGCCAGATTTAGGTACATTTATTTGTACAGAGTGTTATTTCCCCTTCCCAAGTAATTTCATTGATTTCAGTAAGGAAGAATTGTGGAGCCAAATGCTACTTGGCATTAACAAGAAGAGCAGAASCTAGCTTTTTAGAGCCTCTACTTTTAATAGAGCCGCTTAATTTTTGTCTTATACAACTATTTTTCTGAAGAAAAAGCCTGACAGCTCTGCTTTGCCTTATATGTCTTTCAAAAGGCTGAGTGCTAAGCTAGCCGAAGAAAATGCTTCACAAAGCTGACATGTTCAAACTATCCACGTCAAAAGATAACTTTTTTATCTTCAATTTATTCTGGAAAAAAAGACTCTGGGGGTTTATTTCAAAAAATGAAAAATGGGCCAGCAGAATCGCTGGTGTACAGCTCCTATTTATCTGTTTTACAGCCATCAGTTTGATCGCTAGAGTAGCACCAGCGAAGCTAGCAGCTTTCTCCAACACGATATAACGAATACCATATTAATACAAAGTGAAACTAAGTTAAAAGCAGAAAGAYGAGCCCGAGAGGCGAGACACGTTGTTTTATGGGCAGAAAAGGGGCCGACTCCTGAGCTCTGCTCAGTTTAGCTGCCATGAGAGGCGGATGCTGCAGCAGGCAGTGCCGGAGCGGGCTCGTACCCCCGTGTGCTGGTTTAACCTGCAGCTCAAGCTGTGTTTTCACATATCCCTGTGGTTGTCCTTGTGCCGAGAGCCTCTGCTCCCTCATGAGAGCTCTCTCTGCCCCAGCTTCCTCGGGCTAAATCAGGTACGCTCTGTAATAGGCTGTTACCTGAATTATCTCATAAAAAATTCAATGTGTTCTAGGCACTGGGAGCACAATTAAAAAGTCTTCTCTAATAGGAAATGGGGTATTTTTAACAGCCCATTTCTTTGATCACAACAGTTAATTTAACCACTGCTGTCTGCTTCACATGGCCTGTGATCATTGAAGCTGATCTATTTTCTGAGCGAAACGGGAAGTGCTTGTAGGTGCCTCTGCTTCTGTTACAGACACTTTGGAACAGCTTGGGCAGCATTTGGATCTGTCTGATGATTGAATTACAGACCAGCAATAGCAGGACAAAGAAGCACGTTTGATTATTGCGTTTAATGGCGTTATTGCCATTAAGTGGGAGCAAGGGTGGTCATTAGAAGTCATGTGTATCCTGTCCTGTTACAGCTTTTGGAAAATTCAGGGATTGCTTTACGTTCATAAGACAACTCCTCACTTCTTTTTTTTTTTTCTTTTTTTTTTGGCTTTTTCTGAAGTGCTAGTTGTGTTTTAGGGACTGCCATCAGAAACGATCAGTGGAGACTTAAACTCCAAAAGCAGCAAGCAAAACAGGACTTTTATGATATTTGAAAATTTCTCCTTTGTGGTAGAAACTCTAGACTGCACACATGGTGCCTTCAGGACACCAACTGAGAATAAAGCTGCTTTCAGAGGCAGTAAGTGATTTCATTCTATTAATGTCCAGGTGATTTGTGGTGCCCATTACGGCATCGCTAATGTGATGGCAAACATTTCCTGGGCATGCCATGTTTCCAATGTTCTGCAGAACGTAGCTCAAGTGCTTGCACAGTGCCTGATTGGAAAAGACAGCCCCTGGGGTTCATTCTTTTCATCAGCAAAGTATTAATTCTGAAACAAAAGAGGATCTTTCTATTTTCAAAGATGCTGAAATAAACCTGGTATTAGCGAGCAGGACAGAGTAAAAGAAGCTACAAGGCAGGTGTATACAAGGCATTGGGACCGGTCAGAAAAGAGTCCCGTGTGTCATTTCCCTCCTATGACTTCTGTCRTGTGTTTCTTCCGTTTTAATTCCCAGCAGAAGAAAGTCCATATTTAAACTCCATGTATATACATATTTCACTGATTAATAAAAAGTCAAAGGCAAAAGTATGTGACTTATACTTTGGAAAGTGGGGACAATCCTGGAAACTGCAAATAAGTATCTGTACTGTGCACACAGCTTTCCAGGGTCTCCCTTGAGCACTATTTTCCTTCACAGAAAGTCACCTCGATGCATACCTGTTTAAAGCTGAATAAAAACAGGGGGCTAAATGATCCAAGTGCATGTATTCCTCTTTGCTTTGCTCAGATGGAGATGACAAGGAAGTTGTGGCCTAACAGGCATACTGGGAAGAGGCAACTGCTGCAGGAGAGTGGCCTGCAGACGAGGCACAGACTGACGCATGAAATGAAGCATTGGGAAAGAGTGGGAATGTAGTGAGCATTGGAAGTATTTAAAGGGATGAGCGCAACCACAGGTCTGTGCAAATGAGCTGGCTCTCCCCCACTGCCTTCCCCTGGGCTTGCGTCCTGCTTGCAAAGGAAGTAAGAGCTGGTTTGTCTCCTTAGTCGGGTAACAGGAGGATCTGTGGAGGAGCTGAAATAATTACCTGAAAGAATATGATTTTAGAATGAAAATATTATCACTTTATAAACTCGGTCAAGATTTGGATTCCTTGTAAAACAAGAGAAACTTTAAAGAGGATGATAGGGTAAAATCAATATTGATTATTAGGAGTAAAAGTGCTATAATTGAGGCCATAAAACCTTTTAAGATCCAGCTAAAATTTTCCAGTAAAACTACAATAAATTATTCCTAAATAAGTAGAATATTTGCATGGAATTTAATGTCATTATATCAGACCCCGTTTAATGAAAAGGAGAGTATTACTAATTCTGCCACGAAGAGTTTTATAAGGAGAGGATTAGCACAGTTATTTTGGCAAGTTACCTTTTTTCTTTTTTTTTTTTTTTTTCCTAATATTTCATTGCATTCCACAAGAATCCACTTCTAAAATCTTGACATGCTTTTAAGAGATCMCTTCATTGCTGCTTGTTTTTCTGGCTCTTAGACCTTTCAAATCTGACATATTAGCTCCCTTATTATAGCTCAGCAATAGCAAGCCCTTTTAATTTATGGAGGACCCTAATTTTTATAATCTGATATTAGTACAGGCTGTAAATCTTTTTAATGATAAAGTAAATGGAAATCTAACGTGGCATTTTTGTCATCACTTCTTTAATAGTCTCTATCTAGGGCTTTTTTTAGAGTTGTGATCAGTAGAATTATGCAAAGGAATAAAGTCAAGTAATACTGTGAAACTGCATTTTCCATGTTTGAGAGGTGGTTTGCTGGTGCGTTACTCCAGTTCTATCCCAATGTAACTGGAAGGACGTGGCGTTAACCGATGGCACGTGCTCGCTCTTGGTTCAGTGGAAGGATTCCCCAGATCAGGAAAGAGCATCAATTAAATCAGCTTATTTGTTTTCCTTGCATCAGTCACAAGTTTGATTGTTTTTATAAACACACTTTTTGGTTGTGCTCTTGAAGATCAGATAACCCCAAATTGGATCTTTCTGACATAGAAGGAAAATCATCCAGAAACTGAAGAGGAAGGCGAGCACAGCATCCTGATGGCACTTTTCCCAGAAAACATCCGGACTGTAGCTATCCCTGAGGTGTAGGTGCCCAGACACCTAGGCGTGCCTGTAGGTTTCTATGTGAGGCTGGAGACTCCCTCTTGTTAGGGTGCCCAGACTGTGTGATGAATATTTGCTGCTGCTTTGTTGAATTCCACTGAGCAAAGGCAGTTCTCACAGTCRCCCTTTCACGTCGCATTAAGCTTCAGCTGCACGAGGATCCCCCGTGGGAGCGCATTGGTAGGGTGCGTGTTGGGAGGACTTCCCTTGGCCTCTGGGCTGCTTTGTGGTGGCATTGGCCCTCTGTGGCTCTTGGGTGTCTCTGCTGGGTGCAGAAAGCAGAACTATCCCAGCTGAGAGGTGCCACGTGAGGGGCCTTGCCCCGGAGGAGAGCGTGACACAAAGCTGCCTCCCCAGGCACTCTTAGCCTTTCCTCTGTGCCACGTTCTTGCCTGAAGAGCAGCCTGAGGACCGTCGGCCAGCGCKGAGCGAGACGTGCAGGGCCCGGGGTCGCTCGTCGCCTGCAGCCCTGGCTCCAAGAGCCGCGTGCGCGACGGGCACGCGCAGCCCCCTCGAAAGGGGCCGGCCCCGCGCGGCCCTCCTGCGGAGGCTCTGCGCTCGCAGCCCCGCGCCCGGCGCGCAGCGCGGGATCTGCCACGCTGGGCTCCCGGGGTTTCACGCGGCGAGGCTGGAGCCAAGCGTGGTGCAGGGAAACAGGCAGCATGGGAAACTGGTGGGTGGGTTTCGCTAAATTAATTGGCGGTAAGGCAGCCTTCTGCTCTGCAGCGCCCGCCATCTGGAACAGCCTTTCTCTATCTCTCTACCTCATTGACTCTCAATCTGATTCCAAATCTCAGCTGAAAACATCTCTCTTCTCCTGCGCATTATACCCTGTAATTTCTATTTCCTGCTATTATTTCTTACTTAACTCTGTTGTGTTTTCAGCTGGAGCATGAGTGGTGCCACACAAAATAAAGCAACACAGCATGGTGGTTGCAATCCAGTCCGTGACAGGGAGAGGTTTTTTCCCCCTTTAGAATATTAACTGAGTTAAATTGCCCAGATGTATTTCAACCATATCTTTTTATGCATACATTTCAATTGTTGTTTTATTGAATGATTCTGTGGGAGGTTTTTGTTACCTTTACTTACAGTACACTCTATTGTTCCTCAAGTGGCTGCCTGAAAGGAATTAGAAAGTTGGAGTGGAAAGTTTTCTTAAATACTACTTTTCTTTCCTTCATGTGTGCCTCTTGCTTATAGTGGCATATGTCCACTACAATCAAAAATACCACTCTAGGTCACGCATGTAGCCCCAAATTAGCTTTAAGCTGCTTTAAGTTTAGGTTGCTCACACTGTAGAGCCTGCAAGCTTCAGCGCTCTGTGTAAAGGTGCCTGTGCAAGCAGGGCTGTGTGGCATGTATGTCGATGCTGATGGTGCTTACATGCTGATGGTGCTTATATGCTGCAGATCTTTTAAATCGGAACACGTGGGGAGAGGGGGTGGAGACGGGAAGGAGGCGAAAACAAGTATTCATATTGTACCTCATAATAAATCAACTGTCTCGCATTAAATCAGGGTAACTTCTTAATTGGCACTCCTACGACAGCAAACTCTATCATTTCAGTATTAATAAAGCAAGGACCCAGATTACAGAACGATTTCTTGCATTCAGATAGGTCCAAATCTGCTGCCCCAGTGGTGCTGCTCTGACTGAATCTGCTCTCATGAATAAGAGTAAGGGCAGCAAATTTATAAAGAAAAATAACACTTTATTAGAGCAGTTACCATCTCTGAGAGAGAAGAAAAAGAAACTTCTGAAGGTTTAACACTCCTTGTAGTCTAAAACAAAAGCTGTAAACAGCAAAAAGCAATATCTTCTGCTGCTCCTGTGTTGCTTCTTTCTTGGGGGATGGTCGTTGGTGGTGCAGAGATGGCTCCATGGGCTTCCCTTTTCCCTGGTAACTGCTCTCCCTTCTTCCCACAACAATCTGATAATTTTCTGCAAATGTCACTTCCCAGTAGCCAATTTAATGTTCACCTCTGCCCCTGCATATTTCARGTCTGCTGCTCAGTTGAGTTATTCAGATTAATCTCGGGTCTTCCACATTTGAAGTGAGAACACAATCTAATATTTCTCTAATAATATTACGATCTAGTTTAAAAGAAGGTGTGTGTGCAAACCCCACCTGGCTGCCTTGTTTCCCAGAGATAACAGTAACTTTTTAGGAAGGCCTTTGAAAGTGTCAAGGTCTATGAGCTTATTACTAAATGGCCTATGAGCAGACATTCATAAGATGTTTTGTTATTTCTAAATGAAGTAGTCTTTGTGCAAAACCCATGAATGTGTTCCCTAATCTGGGATTGTCCCAAGCAGTTCAGGACATGTGGTAGGGTAATGTGCAGTGGACTGAAATCACTGATCATAAACCATCTTGAAAAGAGAGAAAAAAAAAAAAGTGTTTTTACTGCCAGAGATTACTGAGAGTAAAAAACCTGTTTCAAATCAAGAACTGGAGCCATTTCAATTCTCTAGCCTAGCTCTGTTTTAGCCTGGAAGTTAGCATTGCTTTTAAATCGAAACCATCAGATTTAGCCTTCTGTAAAAGCAAAGTAGCATAATAATTGAAGTTAAATCTCATTTATGTACTTTTTAAACATGACCATTGACACTATAGGATTATGCCTTTTATATCACATCCTTATATGTCAAATAAGGTACTGTAACAGGCCAATATCAATTGTGAACCTGGCCCTATATTTAACACATACCACTTYTGAGTTGATTCAAATGGGAAATGAGGGCTCTGCCTTGCTAAACTTCAGGATCCATTTACTGCAATTTTCTTCTTCTCTACTGTTCTCTTGAACCTTTCATCTGCAGAAAGTAAAGGAAGGAATTCAACAGAAAGATGGCTGGATCTTTAAAGTGTAGTCATCTGGGATGACTTCTTATACTTAAAAAAATTTGCTGTCTGAACTCTTTAGTTATTTCTAAGCATGTCATTTAAATCTTCCTGAGAAGCCAGTGGACTTCTGAGAATGTTGCACACAAGACTGTTAATGAGCCTCCTGATCAGCCCTGATCAAGGAAATATTCCAAGTTGTATATTATGGAGCATTATTTTAGCAACGTTTTGGCATGGTTGATCATTTCCTAATGCTTAGAAGTGCTTCAGTCAATAACTGTGGGGATATGTCTGCTGTGAAGAGACATCAGTTTACTCAATAGATCTTTTTATTTAATTTTTAATAGAGCTCTTCTTATTCAGCTTGACCATTCATTGTTAATGTATTCATAATGATTACAGTAGCTATAATTCACAACTAATGATTTTTCTAAATCTATAGATATTATTTATTAAAAGATAAAAAGTCAATATTTCTTGTACAGCCATTGCAGAAAGTAAGCTGTTGCAAAATAGAATAAATATACTTCACGCTTATGCTGTAACGGATGAAAAAAATGAACCTAAAGAAGTGCTTTTGACATCAATGGATTTACATTATCTACATAATCAAATAGTAGAGAGCAGAATTTGGCCCTTGTCACACTCTATTGCGGTGCAGTCAAATTTCTGCACTAGATTTTTGTAGTTTGTTTAAGGAGGRAAAAAAAATCTATGAAAGTGAGGCTGATTTTATTGGTTTTATAAAACAACCTGAGATATGAGGATCCAGACTGTGCAGTCTGGTAGCTTGATGTAGTTC